ACCCATCTTTCCATCCATCCATCAACCCACCCACCCATTTATCCACCCACCCATTATCCATCCACCCATCCATCCATCCATCCATCCATCCATCCATCCACCCACCCACCCATCCATCCATCCATCCATCCATTAACCTACCCACCCATCTTTCCATCCATCCATCAATCCACCCACCCATTTATCCATTCATCCATCCACCCACCCATCTGTCCATCCACTCATCCATTAACCTACCCACCCATCTTCCCATCCATCCATCAACCCACCCACCCATTTATCCATCCATCCATCCATCCATTCATCCATCCACCCACCCATCTGTCCATCCACTCATCCATTAACCTACCCGCCCGCCTTTCCATCCATCCATCAACTCACCCACCCATTTATCCATCCATCCATCCATCCATTCATCCATCCACCCACTCACCTATCTATCCACCCATTCATTTATCCATCCTTCCGTCCGTCTATCCATCCATTCATCAATCTACCCACCCACCCATCTGTTAACCCTTCAACAAATATCAACTGAGCATCTGTGATGCAGGGGTAGGGTCCTAAGAATACAATGTTGTGCTGAAACAACCCTCCTAGTACTTCCAGTCTCCTGAAGAGAGGAGCTAATAAAACACTTCAGTGTAAATGATGCAGGTGCTAAGAAGAAGCCCTGCAGGTGCCATGAGAACCAATAGCAGGCAGATTTGACCTGACTTAGGAGGCCACCAGGGGTTGCCTGGGGAGGCTGCTTCAGGAGAGGAGGAGAAAGCCCCTCTTCTTTGTCTATCATAGCCCTGAATATAGCCGGGTCTGGCAGACACTGCTGGTTGCTTCTCCAACACCCACTTCTCCCTTCATTTTTGTCCACAGAATCCAGTTTTGTTAGGTATCAGGCATCTAGCCCCAGGAGATGAGGAGGTATCAGTCTAAGCTAACCATGGTGATCTCACTTGCCTTTTGCCTGTGATTGGTTTAGGAATGTTCTTGACAGTGAGGCCTAGCAGAAGTCTTTCAAGGGCTCGGTTGTCAGCTTGGAGTTGGATATGAACTGACTTTGCCACATGATCCATAGGCAGGCATACACTTTGGAGTCGACACACTTAGGGACTTGGACAGGTACCAAGTAACCCCATCACTTGAGAGAGACAGAATAGGAGGTTGGTTTCTAGAGCTGGTCCTGTCATTCATCAGCCACATTAAATTTGGCATGTCTTTTCCTCTTTCTGAGCATGAGTATTTTTTAATGTAAAGTGTTGAGAGGGTCACATGTGTCCTGCTTTCCTCAGTCAACTGTTGTAAGGATGAAATAAATGATATTGTTGTGCAAGCGTGCCACATGGCTGCAAAGTGCTATCAAAGCGTAAACCACTGTCATTGGCAAGGCTTGATAAATGCTCCACCATCATCAGTTGGGGTTACAATTGCTCCTTGGAACCCTCCAGGCTCCTCAGATTTTTCTGAGTGGAGGCCTAATTTCAGATGGAGAAGATGCTTCTCTTCCTTGAAATGTCTTTTGACTTGGAAGCTCACTGCTCTAAGTGGGCTCAGGGAGACTGGCTGGCTCCTTGTGTCACCAGGGTGGAGATTTCCCTTTGTCTAGGAGCCCAGTGGCTCCTGTATGTGAGTGAAACTCTGAGTCCCTCTTGCCTCAGGATTCAGGATGGGGTCTTTTGCTTCATCAGAAGCCCACAGAACTCGGAGGCCATCCAATGGAGGAAATGGGCTACGAAGCCGACCCCAGTAGCTCCTTTCTTTCCATTTGTTAACATAAAGAGTTTGGGTGGTGCAGACGCATGTTTGCTCAGGGCTGGGCCTGAGCTTTGGCTCCCTTCCCTTTTGGAATTCGGTTCCTTCTACTCTTCTCTATCCCTGCCCACAGAGCTGGTGATGTTGGGCTGCATCTCTTTTCCAGAACTCTCTGCTGGAAGTACCAGCCTCAGTCTTGAGACATGCTGTTCAGCAGAACTTTCTATCATGATGGAAACGTCCAGTGGATTTCCTTTGACCAGTGGTAGCCACAAGCCAAATGAAGCTGGCAAACATTTGGAATGTACTCAATGTGACTGAAGCATGGAATTTTTAATATTATTTAATTTCAATTAATTCATATTTAAATTGCTACAAGTAGCTAGTGGCTTGTGTATCAGACAGTACAGGTCTACAGCTCAATATCCCAATCGTTTCAGTCTCTCCATTGCAATCAAAATTAATTTGTCCTGTGTCCCAATCCCAAGGCTCTCTTCTTAGAGAAGCACCAGCAAGACAATCTCATAAACAAATTGCTATCCATAAATTAAGGCCTTTCTCTCTTAGGTACATGTGTAGGTTTTGAGTAATGCTACAATTTAGTCAAAGCAGAGGTTCAAATGATAGGAATTTGAGAAACTCTAACAGGTAAGTGGTGGGGGAAAAGATTATGAGTATACAGCTTTAAAAGAACTTCAAAGCACGCCCTATGGGTGGACACATCCTCCCTAGCACCCTGGGCTGCTTCTAAGCTCCTCCTGACCTCTTGCAGTCTGGACAGAGTTAAGGGCAGAATTGTGTGGATGGGAGCCTGGGAAAGGGCTGGAGGTGGGAGGGTTGGAATGGGCAGAGCCTGAAGGATGCCAGGGCTCTTGCAAAAGAATCTGGCATGCCAGGCAGAGAGACAGTTTGTTCCACCCTGGGTGGGTATGGGGCACGATGGAGTGATTGTTAGGGAGTGATGATTACCATTGGGACAGGACTGGAAAGTTAACAATTAAGTTAAAGAGACCAGACATCACATTAAAGGCTGCAAAATGAACTGTGACACTTTGGGTCGGGTCTTGGACAGGAATTGCAATTTTACTCTTAATTTTTAATCCCCTCTTTCAAGGAGCTTCCCCCCCTCCGAATTCTTCTATGAATATTGCTTTCTGGATGTTCTTTTTACCCTGAAACTGAGCTGTGTTTCTGTTTCTCTTGACCATGTAACTGCTTTCAAGTTCCTGCCTGTGATTTCACAGATATCCACTGGAATCAGAAGCATCTTTGTAATCCAAACACCAGGTTGGGAAAGGGTGGAGGATAATGGAGGCTGGGTGCAGGGGTCAGGGGCAGATCAATCAGAGGAATAAAAGGTCCTCGAGGTGCACTCAAAGATGAGTAGGAAGTGTGTGTACAAACCCTAGGGCTTTGGAATTTCCTTTTAGGGCCTTGGTTTGCCAATTGGTACCACAGGTAAATCTGCTACCACCACTTTATCTACTCCATACTATTTGGTTAATTAAAAAAAAAAATTTCTGGTTAAGTCACTCTTTAGAATGGTGAGCCTTTTGCTGTAAAAAGTTGAAATTATATGAAGTGAAGCAGAGACTATGTCTCAAATCTTTTGTGCAATAATGTTGTCTATGAATACATGTCTAAGAATAATGAATACACACACAAATACAAAGTAGCGCCAAATTTTCCCGGAGCTTTGCAACACAGCTCAGGCTATTGGGTGCTTTCTGACCTCTTCAAACTCTTAAAGGAAGGGTCCACTCAGTCTTCAGCATTGCCCTGTTCTCTTTCATTTGCCTTTCCTTCTAGTAAATAGCATGAGGTATTTGACATCAGGGGGTAGAAGCCAAGACTGGAGAAAGCAACTCAGAGAAGTCTGAATGGCTCGATTCACCCCTTCCAATGTTACCAGAGGCTCCTGGGCAGGGCTATTATGCTATGGGGTGCTCTTGTACCCAGAGCATTTTGATGACTGATGACATTTCTTCTGCAAGTATTTGCTAGTTTTATTCTGAACACTGTAAATTTCAGTTGATTTCCATGAAAAACAAAAGCTCCCGCTGGGCTGAGACAACTTAGAGCAGTGGTTCTTGGTAGGGACAATTTTGTCCCCACCCGGAGGACATTTGGCAAAGCCTGGAAACATTATTTTATTATTACTTCTGTCGGGGGGAGTTTTATCCTCCTTGGAACTGTCTGGAGACATCACTGGTTGTTAGAGCGGGGGTGGGTGGCGTCCTTCTGGTATTTAGTGGGAGACACCAGGAAGGCTGCAGAGCATCATATGATGCACAGAGGAGCCCCACAACCCAGAACAATCTGACCCAGAACGTCCACAGTGTTGTTTGAGAAACCCTGGTTTGGAGGGCAAGTTCAGGCTCAGTTCTTGACACCAAAGCGGCATCATGGCTCTCAAGGGGCTATCATGTTTCAATGTGGGAAGACTAGTAAGTTCCCTTAGATGACCCCAAGAAGTCCCAGGAAAATTTTGCCTAGAATTTTCTTCAACCAATAACTTCATCGTTTTCCTATCTTCCTGGCTCCTTAACTTCCTCTGAATGAGAGAGTACAGCCTCAAAGTTGTACATGTCAAGCTCATCTCAGCGGGTCCAGATCCCATTTGACTGTAGTATAGATAGAGGGAAGTCGGGGGGCTTGGTTTCTCCATCTGTAAAATGGAGTCATAATACTTCATGATCTATTTGCTAGGCAGTCCTGGCAGTCTAGGGTTTCCTTGCCACTGATAGATGAGGGAAGACCCAGAGCCTGTCAATATGAGTCCTGCCATGAGGGCTGGGAGGAAGGAGACACAGCAGTGACATTACAGGGCCCAGAAAGCTGTGGCAAGAATTTATGTAGAGTTGCTTAGGAAAATAAAAGCAAGCATAATATTTCTCTCTCTGGTTCTAAAAGTAACACAGTCATTGTCGATAATCTCTCAATTACAGAACTCTACAAGGACAAAATAAAACTCTCTCATGATTGCACCACTAGGAGATATCAGCTATGAAAAGCTTTGGTATTTTCTTTGAGGAAAAACGGGGCAAAGGATGAACATCAGGTTTTCTGAGCTGGACAGGCTGGGGAGATTGAAACAGCCTTTGAAGACAGCAGAATGTGCCAGTGTAGACATTGACTGGTTTGAGATGATATTCCGTGAACCAAGATAGTTGAGCCCCTGCCCTGGATGAAACGGACAGTGGGGCAGATGGGTGGTGTGACCGAGGGGCATGTGAACAAGTCCCCCTTACCTTCAGGATTCATGTGGGAAGCATCCTCAGTGTTCGCCTCCATGAATAGGAGAGTTCTTCAGCTGAAAGAGGAAATGGTTCATTTTAGCTGAAAGATGAGGGGACAGGAGATTCCATTTCTGGCTCACTCTGCAGTATGTAGCATGGCTGAATACTGGCTCCTCAGTGATAGGCATGAGACTGCTCTAATGTTCTAAAATTAGTTTTTTGGCAGCCTTATTTTGAAGTAATTTTAATCTTATAGAATAGTTATAAAATATTTTTTTAAAAATCATATACTCTCGACCCACATCGTCAGTTGTTAGTATTTTACCACATCTGATTTATTATCTTTCTTCTCTGTACATAAAAGTTACTTCCTAATTATTTGTGACTTAGTCACAGTCATGATGCATGTTTACCCCTAAATATTTCAGTGTGTTTTCCTAAGAACAAGGACAATTCTCCTACCTAAAGGTAGTACAATAATTAACATCAGAAAATTAACATCCATACAGTATTATTACCTAATCTATAGGCTTACTCAAATTTTGCCAGTTATCCTAGTTGGGATTAGATTTCATAAAATTTGGTCCTGGAGACCTTAATGAAATTTATTAACAAATTGTGACATAGTTATAGATGAATTGGAATTCTGGGTTTTGTATAAGAACTTTCAGACTCTGGGGACTGACTGGTCTGGGTCTGGGAGGCATGAAGGGACAGCTGTTAGATGTATGGATCTTAGAAAAAAAATGATTTCCGGACTTGATTGCAAAATAGACCTGCATAGGTCTATGTTTTTGTTGTTGTTGTTGTTGACAGGCTGTTACTCTGTCTCCAGGCTGGAGTGCTGTGGCACAATCACAGCTTACTGCAACCTCAACCTCCCAGGGCTCAGGTGATTCTCCCACTTCACCCACCCCCTGCCCAAAGTAGCTGGGACTACAGGCACACGTCATTACACCTGGCCAATTTTTTGTATTTTTGGTAGAGATGGGGTTTTGCCATGTTGGCCGGGCTGGTCTCAAACTCCTGGCCTCAAGTGATCTGCCTGCCTCGGCCTCCCAAAGTGCTGGGATTACAGGTGTGAGCCACCACGCCCAGCCTACAGCTACTTTTCAAAATGGGCTTCGGTATATATGAACAGCAATTCTTAATTTAATGCCCAATTTTGTCTTGCCCATTCCAAGCAAAGGCAAATAATCTAACCAGAGTAACAGACCAAACAATGCTTTTTCTAAGTCTTCAAAATCCAGAATCTTCAGGATTATTCCTTGAGGAAGCCAGTGCTGAATATTCTCCATGCTGACTCAATGGACAGAGGAGGAGCTGACTGGCAGGATGCTGTGGTTGGTCACTAGCAGCCTCATGCCATTGACAACCTCTCTCTGTCTCTCTCACTCTCACACACACACACACACAAACACACACAAACACACACACCATTTTCTCAACATTGCTGCTGTTGGCATGATTAATCAAGAGCCTGGAAGTCTTTACAATCAAAGGCTACCATGTGGCAAGGGCCATCTGAGCAAAAGACAGCCAGCCACGAGGCATTTGATAATAAGGGGCCTGTTGGATCCAGAGCCTGTGACACAGATGTCTGGGGCACGCTTCTTAGAAGCCACTCATTTTTCTCCATAGGATGCAGTGACACCAAATTTTCTGTTTAAAAAAAATTTAGATTCTAAGAATTATTTTAGAACTTAAAGTTCTGTCTTTGATTAGAGTTGTTCTGCTCTGTTCAGAGCAAATCCTGTTCCGTTCTGTCATCTCCCAAATAAGATCCAGACTGTTTTTATACTCTTGACAGAAACCCTGAGGGGTCAGTGAGGGAGTGGGGAACCAGGACAAGGGCTGTGCTGGCAGTGGGGCGTCTGGAACAGCAAACGGCAGCAGTGAGGGCTTCAGGGCAGGCGGGCATAAAGGGATGGCTTCTGCAGTTCAACAAACACTGATTGAGTGACAGGCCCTGGGCCCACTTGGTCCATTCATCTATTATTCATTCAGCATTTATGAAATGCTTGGCTCACCACTTAGCCCTTGTCATCCTCTGCCCTGGCTCCCACATCTATTCTTTACCTGCTCTGCGCCCTGCGAGTCTGACTCCTGTGCCCTCTAGCTTCAAGTAGAGTTCTACCCACAGTGGGTAGAGCACGGAGATGGGCATGTCAGGGTATCGATTTCCCTTCTGCTCTGCCTGCCTCAGAGACTGGTGCTAGCCGTGGTTGTGTTTCTTTTACCACAAGTCCAGTTAAGTAGTCATGACTCCAGCTATCACTGGGCCCTGGCAAAATTATTCCCTCTCCATTCTTCTTCATGCAGATGGGGGGTGACAAATTCACTTGTTCTTCTAACCCTACCCCTGGGCATGTAAAGAGTCTCTTTATATTCTCTTCAAAATCCTAGCTGTGCATGCCATCCTTTTTCTGTCTGACTCTAAGATGGCCCTTGAATATGTGCTAAATTGTGCCTGATTGCTCTGGACAAGCAAGAGAGATGTAAAATTTTGTATATACTTCCTAGTATGAGGATATACCATTATGGGGTGGGGAGACATAATTTAATAGAAGCTCCTAAGAGAAATAACTGACAGATTTCATCTTTTATATACTTGAGTATTGTGTGTCAGTCAAAGACCAACCTGATCTCTGGTCACATCATTTGAAGTATTGCATCCAGAACAGGGGAGGTGATAGTACTACTTAGTTCTGTGAATTCTACATTAGCTCCCATGCTTATTTCCCTGCTCCTCCTCACTTTAGGAAAAAGCATGTTACTTATCTTCAAGTTCTGTCACATAGAGCAGAAGTTGCAAGAGTTTTTCTTCAAAAGCCAAATAGTAAATATTTTCAGCTTTGTAGGCTAAATGTTCCGAGTACTCTGTTACTGTAGTACAAAAGCAGCCGCAGACAACATGTACATGAATAAGCTTGGCTGTGTTCCAATAAAACTTTATTTATATAAATAAATGGGCTGGATCTGGCCTGCAGGCATTACTTTGCTGAACTCTGATAGAAGAGTGCAAAATGAATTTATTCTAGAGGTGCCCAGAAGGCAGAAGTTTGAGCAATGTGTAAAAATCATGGGGTGGTAGATTTGGGCTAATTTTAAGATCATTCTAGTGGTGATCACTGTTCCCAAAGAGAATCATCTGTTTCATACGTCAGTGAGTTTCTTGTCTTTATAGGGGTTCAAAGCAAAGCTGAGTGTTTTAGAAGAATTTTCTGCAGAGCATGGAGAGTAAATTGGATGATGTGGGAGGTAACACTGCCTCGCATTTCTGTGTCTTCAGCATAGTACAATGCACACATAGTAAATCTCAGTTCTATGTTCCTAGAGGGAAGGGGCTGTGTCATATCCTTGCATCCCACTCACTCCTGAAAGTCTAGTATAGTGCTTTAAATATGGTGGGTGTGACTAACACATTTTTTTGTTCAACCTGACTCTTTAAATCCAATCTTGCTGACAAACTAATTACACTAATTTGTCTTTAGTACAATCATCACTACCAGTCATATTAAATAATTCAATTACCTCTGATAAGCTTCAACATTTGAGGACTTTCACTGAAAATAATAGACAACATTTACTAAGTTCTTAAAATATGCCAGCTATCATGCTAAGGACCTTACAGGCATTATCTTATTTAATGCTCCCCAAAATCTCTGAGGTAGGCACTATTATTACCCCTATCTTATTGATGAAGAAACTGAAATTCAGAGAAGACTCATAGCTAAGAAGTTGCATATCCAAAACTTGAACTGAGATCTCTTTGATGCCAAAGGCTGTGCTCCAACCACAATTCCATTCTGCTTCCCAGCCATTCATTTATGCTTTCATTCACTGAGTATTCAACAAATACCAATTGGTTGCCTGCTATTTGCCAAGTAGTATTTTAGGTGCTGATGATAGAGCTGTGGATGTAAACAGGTCAAGTCCATGCTCTGAAGAAACTTACATTCTGGGTGGAATAAAGTGGGGGTTGACACACAATTAACAAATGAGAAAATAACAAATTAACAATTTGTTAATTATAAAATAACAATTAACAAATGAGAAAATAATACATGGTAATTCATCACAAGACATGAGGAGATTAAAAAGACAATAAATATTTCTTGTCCACACTAGAATCACAGGTATAATCCTAATTGATGAATTTAGCAAAGAAATGGTACTTCGTCACAAGACATGAGGATTAAAAAGATAATAAATATTTCTTGTCCACACCAAAACCACAGGTATAATCCTAATTGATGAATTTGCTGAAGTTCTTTCTTGTTTTTTTTTTTCTTCAACTTTTAAGTCCTGGGGAAAATGCTTAGGATGTGCAGGTTTGTTACACAGGTAAACATGTGCCATAGTGGTTTGCTGCACAGATCAACCCATCACCCAGGCATTAAGCCCAACATCCATTAGCTATTCTTCCCGATACTCTCCCTCCCCACACCCTGATAGGCCACAGTGTGTGTTGTTCCCCCCACCTGCTGCCCCATGTGTCCATGTGTTCTCATCATTCAGCTCCCTCTTATAAGTGAGAACATGTGGTGTTTGGTTTTCTGTTCCTGAGCTCTTTCTTGTTTACTGACATTAGCCCAAGGTTAGTCTTTTGTCCTGACAAATTGTCAGATAAATTGACATTAGCTCAACGTTAGTCTTTAGTCCTGACAAATTGTCAGATAAACTCAGATTCAGAAAGAAATCGTCAGGATTTCTGGCAATTGATAGGGATTACATATGGCAATTTATAGACATGCATGTGGAACTCTTGAATGAAAATGAAGTTTAGTCAATAAAGCACTTGGGAATCACTCTTTTTGGGCAGACTGAACTTGAGCAGAAGCAAGCACATCCACTTGAGTCAAAGGCATGGGCCTTGTTTAGGAACAGAGGTACCAGGGTGGCTGAGAGTGGAGGAACCAAAGGGGAATTACAAAATCTTGATCGAGATTGAGATGGAGACAGAGGGAGCAAGATAAATGGGGTAAAGTCAAGTCAACTGTCAGGTCCAATAGGCAAGTGCTGACTGGGAATGGGAGACAGTGCCCAAAGGTCATGGGTGGAGTAAACACAA